TATCTTTAGAAATAGGACAGACTATCCTGAGATCTAGAAATGTTGCCCCACTGTTTCCTAAACATTTTCTGAAAAATACTGGTCAATAAATCAAAACAACAGATGGATACTGAAAACAAAAGCCTACCTGAATCAAGATCTCCATTTCCATTAGCTGAGCTGAGATGCTTTTCCAAGGGTGCAGACGAAGGGTCTTGCATACTGGAAACTGGCAAACTGTTCTCCATTCCCAATGAGTAAGTGTCTTCCTCTCTCAATTCATCCTTCAGGAAGAATTACCTAATGGTAATCAAAAAAAAAAAAAAAAAAAATCAGAGCACTTTAATTATATGAATTATATTAACTTATTTTTAAACTCTCCAAAAATAACATGATCCTATCAGTGTTGCTGATATTTCATTATAACATTTAGGATGCAATGTCATCTTGATAATAGAAAATTCCAGGAATAAAGACTAAAGCATCATCTCTGCACAAGGTCAACAATGAAGGTCACAGCACAGCAAAACCATCAATTTTCTATAGGTCATTATCACCAAGAAGATGAACACGTTTTTCACTAACAAATAGAACTATGTTTCAATCCCCAATGCACCATGGTAACAGTGGGCACTCCACTGTCCCCCTGCATGCAAACCCACCTCCACCTCAGCACCCCACACTCAGGTTTACACAGGACACAGTAAGAAGTCCTCGTGTGTCACAAGTGATCTGTTACCAAAGTCAGTTAAAGTACAACGTTTGCAATAACGTGGTTTTTTTACAAATATGAAATGGAGACAAGACTCTCCCTGTAACAGCACTGCTAGGCCTCACTCGCATGCTGATATGACTTGTGGAAAAGAGGCAAAATCCCAGACAGTTCTCACCAAATCCTACAATCTACTGCGTTTATGTCAGAGCCCACAAGACCCCAGGAACAGTCATCACTAACAAGCAGCCACTCACAGTTCAGATGGCTAGACACAGCCACGTTGTGTTTTTAAGTCTTTCATTCTGTTCTCTTGTATTTCGCATGTAGATAAAATTTTAAATCACCAAAGGGACAAAGATGGATGAAGAAAGGAGAGAATATACTGCATCTATCACCTATTGATGGAATATTTTTTGACTCACATACTGGCAGAATGTCTTTTAAGAATACCACCCTCTTCTGAAAACACACCCTCCCTTGATGCTATTTGGTTTACTTTCCTGTGAAATATTTTAAGGTTTTGTCAAAACTGAAGATTCATAAAAGAGTGTGGTAATCATTGTGCAATTGCGAGGAAAAAGCTGAAAACTGCTGCGGCCAGAAACAGCCAGGAAGAGACTGGAAATGAACCAGGCACACGGCACTGGAGTTTAATTCAACACTCATTTAATTATCCACCTGTTATATATAAAGCATTACCCCAGACATGCTGGGGAGGATACAAACCTATTTCTCAATCAAAACACACAAAAAGAAAATACGTAGTTTAGAATAGGGACTCAAAGTATCTAGACTGGTTCATTAAACAGCAATCTCAGCATCTTGCTACTTCAAAGTTCATGAATATGCAAACAGAATGACAATCAAATGCACAAGGCACCTGTAAGTTACCAGATTATCTTTCATTCATTTAACACTGTACGCACAGGGGATTATCATATTTACTGAAGCAAAAATAAGTGCACTGGTCTGAGAAGAAGTCAACACCAATGACACAAATCATTTAAATCAGGGCTGGCTGTGTCAGAAAACATGAGATCTATACGTGAAAGGCAAGTACTAGGTACAAAATGATTTCTTCAGTTTAAAAATCATAAAGCATAGGAAATGCCATGCCCAAAGATCCATTTACACATGCTCAATGTTGCATTGTGCAGAACATAATAAAGTTAAAACTCTCTCCATCTCATCCCTCTAGACACTGGTTTTTTTTTTTTTTTATATCTAAGCGACGGTTTAAGAAAATATGGTATATACAGAAATAACTTGAACCTAAATAGGAACTAGGCTTATCTCTCTTACTAAGTCAAAAAATAAAGTTATCTCCTAGCCCTTGTGAATCATTTAATGAGCTTAACTCAATTCCAGAATCCATGCCCTTAACCATTCAATTACATACCCCTTTCCCCATTTTCCAGATTTTCTACCATGCAGTTATGACTTTCATACATTTTTAACTTATCACTTTTTAATAAGTGAGCACCTATTATGGGGAAGGGGCAGTGAAAAGAAATAATAGTAAAATATGGAGGGGCAAGGACCCCACATTAATTCCTCCTGAAAAAGTTCCCTTACGGATTTACGTTAGACTTTTCTTCGCAAATTCTAAAACACATGTAATCTTTAACTCTGGACAGGCAAGTGTGCATAACATGAGATTTTGTTTCTTACTATTCATGCAGCCACTGATTTAGACACGCCAGACACTAGATGGCCCTGGAGATGGACTTACAAACACAGTGGCTGCTATAAAGCAACAACAGTCTAGTCCAGGAGTCCAGGACGGACCCCAAGTCGCAACAGAGAGGAGCATGGGTGGCAAGGACATGCAGAAGCGGGACAGAAAACCAGGAGAGGCTCAGGGGAATGCCCACAGGCGCCGAGGATAAGAGGAAACCGAGAGGTCAAATGAGAGCACAGGCTTAAGAGAAGGTGGTGCCCGGGGAGGTTCCAGGAGGGACCAAGAGCACACAGGGCCCACCGAAAAATTCTACGGTGCCTCAGTGCAGAGGGGAGAAGACAGGACTGTGTGGACAAGTGGTACATTCCCTTTCTTTCCCAAGTATTCACTGATTCCTCCATTAACTGTCAGGCACCATTCTAGGCACCAGAGGACATTTGAAACAAAGAAAAAATCCTGCCCTAACAGAGATGACATCTTAATTGTGGGAAAGGGCCGTTTTAAAAAAAAAGGAAATTATATAGTGTGTTAGAAAGTGGCGAGTGCTATGGAGTACACACAGCAGGAAAGATTAGGTGAGCAAGGGACAGGGGTGATCATTATCCAGATGCCTCAGGAAAGAGCTCAGGAGATAATATTTGGACAAGGACTTGGGGGTGAGAACAGCAAGCTGAGCCCAAAGGAGCAGAGAATAGTTTACCAAGATAAGGCCCAGAACCCCTAGTGTCATTCCATGGGCAGGAGTAGACACTACAGGATGTCATTCGGGAAGTGAAGTGACCAGATCTATTCTAGAAGAATTGCCTAGGTCGCCCTATGCAAGAAGGATGAAGGAGGCAAGACTGGATAGAACCAGACGGAAAACAAGAAAGTGCAGGCAAGGGTCTGAACTGAGACCATGCAGAAGAAACAAAGGAAACAAGAAGTATTTGGAAGGTGCGATCTGCAGAACACAGTGGAAATGATCTGAACCAAATGCAGTCTTTCTACAGCCTGTAGTCACAGATCCCAGAACAAATGACTTCACTTTCCACAGCTACCTCTCAGCAACTAATGGGACCTACGCAGTGACTGTGGGAATAGATCATTCTGTGAGGAATATATTAAACAGGAGAATGACAAACCATTTCACAGAAATTTCTATTTACTTTCAATGGGATTTGGGCGGGGAGGCAAATCTAACTGGTGACAATAGATCCATCATAAGCTTTACAAAATAAAAATAGGATATTTTGAAAAGAAAGTCTTTTTCCTAACTACAACACCCTAACCAAAAAAAAAAANAAAAAAAAAAATCCTTTTTAAATAAACCTTTTATTTTATAAGTATTCAAAAAGAGATGCATTCATAAATTCATTAGTTAAATATTAAAATTCAAAGGCTGTGCATTGTTGTTTTGGCTTTCTGTTTTGTTTTTGAGTTTTTTTTAGATTTCTTAAAGGGAGAATCACTTTACCAGAAATTCACATGACCTAAATTTCTTTTGCATTCTGTACTCTTGTGAAAAACGTGCTCAACATTTTGGGGAATGTCTTGGGTCCCCAGCACCTAATGCTTAGGCAGAGCCGGTTCTCCTGTATCCCTGTATCTCCTGTATTCTATTTCTCTGCCTCCCTCACAGTGGTGGAAACATGGGACGAACTCTAGTCAAGGCGTTTTGAGCAAAAACAGCATTTGTCTCTTTTAAACTAGGGCATTTAATTGCTGGTTCAAGACCCTCCCATTCTTTTTATGGCCATGACAAACCTCAGGCACCATGACGCGGTGGCAGCACCGTGGGATGGCTCAGTGGACCACAGACAGTGTGATGATTTACACACATGGACCAGGTTAAGCCACTGAGATTCTGAAGTGAGCAATCAGCTCACCCACTACAACCTCACCCGCTCTATCTTACAGTAATATTAATTTTAACCTAAACTCTGTTTAACTTTAAAGCTGCTGTATCTTTAGAAATAGGACAGACTATCCTGAGATCTAGAAATGTTGCCCCACTGTTTCCTAA